AAAATAGCTTAACTCCTGACCAACCATTCTTATCTTATCTCGTTCATTTGCACTTTGGCATCTGAGGCAGGAGGTTCGGTAGTCAAACCATCGAAACTAGTCCTGGAAAATTTGCAAATATAACGCTGATTTTTGTTGCTTGAATAAGGAACCAGCATTTTCATTTTAAATGTAATGGGACAAATTGCATGTTTAAAATGAATGCTGATATTCTGGAATTTTTTACTAGAAGGAAATAAATTTGATTGTTTTCTTAGATGTTTTTTTAAATGGAGAAAGTTTAAAAATTGACAATAAAGTTTATAATGAAATATTAAAACATTTGCATAACTTGCAATTAACCCTTGTTCATTATTTCTTACAGTAACAGGAAAACATTTCTTGGATTTGAAATCCTTTCATGACAACAGATAAGCTCACAGATATGCATGCAGCTGGACATCAGAAAATTAATTGATTAGAAAACTAATTTTGGTATATGTATATAAAATTAAAGAACTAACGTTAAAAGAATTTTAGAAAAATTCGTCAGAAGAATATCCAAAATTATCAACACCAAATTAAGCTATTTAGACTTTACTTCCTATTAAGACAAAGTATTTGTGCAAGGCAAGGTTTTAACATTATGCTGCAACTAAATCCAAACATAAAAACTGACTCAGTGTTACATCCAATATAAGAATTCAGGTTTCTAACATTGTGCCTGATAAGAATTTGAAATTCAAAGACTGTTACATTTAATTAAGTTTTTTTTTTTTTTTTTTTTTAATTGACAACTGAACATTTTTTTCTCACAGGTATAATCTTATTTCATTTATACCAATGGTCTTTAAAGAATATCCATGGAATTCATGTTACTTATTGAACCACTAGGTGTTCAACAAGTAACCCCAGGGTCAACAAATCTAAATCAGAATTTCAAAAATTTTCAAGTACCATATAGATCATAAAACTAAACATTTAAACTAGTTAATTTAATATATATTCTTAAAAATGTTTACTATTATTGGTATTTAAATTAATATGAAGTGGATATATTTCTATGAGTAAAATTATAAAGAAATAAAAATTTCCATTTCCTTCCTCTACATGTAGGAAGGATACAGTTTCAGTACTTTAAGACTTATTTTTCTGAAAATGGTAGCAGTTCCATTATTAAAAATGCAGTTTTGTGGGTCCCTGAGTTCATAAAGTTTGAAAATTACTGATGTATGTAAATATTGTTAACTTATGTATTGTCTTGCTGACCGTTGAAAGTTAGCTACCATCAAGCCTAAGCTGGCAGAGATCCTGCCAAAGTTGCCCCAATTGTTCCTATGGAATTCTGAATGAAGTATTACCTCTTTATTTAATACAAAGTCACTATTTCATCTGCTTCGTAAAAAGGCTTTCATCGATTTAAATTATTTTGTCAAGACCTTTAGTTTTACGGGAAGTTCTGTCTAGAACACTATGAGTACATATTTCCTGCAGGTAATTGCTCCAAACTATTACTGTCTTATCGAACATATTCAGCTAACCATATCATGTTCATCCTTTTTTTTTTTAGGTAAGATCCAATAACTTTAAAAATGCTGTTTTATAAACAGGCAGGTCTGAATGCCCACAGCAGCTGAGTGGTAAAGTTGCTGAACACTAGTTTGAATCCAGTGAATGGGCTGGCTTCATGGGCATTATTGTGGTTTTCTCCAAGTGCAATGTGTAAATGAGCTTGTTTCCCTTAGAAAGTCCTCTATGAAGGCATCGATGCCCGTAGGCAGATATGAGGCTTTCTATAATTAAATAAACCAAACCCAGATTTTAATCATTTGCTTTCAAAATACAAGGGAAAAATATAGCAGAAACACTTAATTTACATCCTTGTCTATAAAACCAAAAAATGGCTCATCAAGAATCAATCGGGTTACATCAAACATAAGGACAGATGTTATGAGTGTGCTTTTACATCATGCTTATCCATAACTGGTGCTAAATTGTGCTGTTTGACAACAGTTCCAGAGTCAGTGGGATATTATGTAAACACATAAATATTTTAACACACCTGAATAATAATAAAAAATAAACAATATAGCTGATATTCTATACTCATGATATACATTTATTGAAGCTCTACACGAATTTAAATAGATAAAACATGTACCACCAAACATAAATAAAATCAAGTTTCTAATGTTCAAGCAAAGCAAATGTTTAGAGTTATATGGAAGTAACAAACAGATGAAAATAAAAACACTTTCAGAGCTTCAAAATTTCAGTTCATGCAGTTTCAAAATATTCAGGATTCAATATTATGTAAATAAATTACTGTTATTAGTCATGTTTAAGCATTATTGATTAATAATTTTTAAGGATATCTCTAACACAGAAAATTCAGGGTTTTTACATAAAAGACACAGGCATTATCAAGAAACTTCTAGGTCTAGACAGTAAGTTCAAATATGGTTGTAGAGCTATAAGGATTTTGGAGAAAGAAATGTAAAAATTTAAATTATGACTTCTGTACAGTTCAAACTACGGATCTCCACCCTGCCAACAGGATGTGTTGTTAGTTTTATCACCAGATCACACACAGGGAAATGTGATACTCATTTTCATCCACATAAAAGATGACTGGGAAGAAAGGAGCAAGAGCTAGCAGGTCAAATGAAATTGATGACAAATTATTGTCTATCACATTTTGTTTGGTTGCCATTGCAGAGTTATTATGGTCTTAGAGCAGGGTACTTATGCATTACTGCAACTCATTTAGCAGAATTTGGCAATTTTCAAAAAGTGCCGAACTCTCGCAACCATATGCATAACAGTTCTTCAGGCAAACATACTGAAAACAATTTGGTTCTAATGTAGAAAAGGGTGCCCTTTGATTTGGTGCCAAATACCGACATGAATACTAGTCTTGTTGTAATTCTTTCAATTCTTTCTCCCCATTATTAGAATTTTATTTGCTGTTAGTAGAACTTTAGTTTTCATTTGCTGGCTGGTTCTAATTAATTATTCTCCTGCCACTTACACAAAGTATATCTAAGGGTAAGAAAGTTATAATTTATTAATGTATGAATAAAGGTTTAGTTTTTGCTATGAATATCAAGTTTGTACACAATATATGTTTCTGGTCGAGCTTAAGGATCAATTGGATGACTAGGAGTGCATTTGTAGCTAGGAAGGTGCTCGAAACTACAGCTTATACCAATACCATTGAGGGAAAGTACAGAGTCACATTACGTGCAAATTTTATAAGCGGGGTCTTCGGCAGTCGTTGGATGCCATTCTTGGTATCATAAAAAAATCACCAAAAATATCAAGAAACACCCTACCGTAAATTTTCAGCCTTTTATAAATATAAACAATGATATTTTTTGGGTTAATATCAATTTTAAAATCTGTGCTCATGGAATTTGTCAGTAATGGAAGAAATTGCTGTAACATTTCTGCAGGAATACATTATTTTGCAGCAAACTTGCTAAAGAGAATAATTATTTCCAATCAGTTTTATGGATATCCCCACAAAATCTCCACCAGAATAAAAAAAAATAAAAATCAGCTTGAAAGTAGATTTATTGTTTCATTTTTGCAATAATACTTAATTAGAATGCAAAATATATGCATAGTAATAATTTAAGTAATATGTTAATTTTTAAAAATGAATTGAATGATGATTTACAGCATCATTCTTTTCATCTATAAAAATTTTGCTATGCATTAATACATAAATATCGGAGCAAGACACATGGAAAATAAACTGTCTCACTGGGATTCAAACCAAGGATTTTCAGACTGCTAGAAGGATGAGCTACTGGTCACACAATGCGAGCATACATATAGAAGAGTGATAATTTTTTACATGATTATATAAACATGATTTTTTAACAAATTTTATACAGCTAAAGATACGCTATCTTTAACATTTATTAACGAAAAACATCAAAATAATAAAAAATAACTTACTGTTACTCTCAAAGAAAACAAAAGATTCATTTTATGGTAAAAGCTAAAAAAAGAATATTATTTCATTGTTAATATAGAATGTGCTTATCATAAATAAATATTTTCAAAAGTAAGAGTTGGAAGTATCAGATCACAAAATGTCAATCCTAAATCATGTAAACTAACAAAATAAACTATGCATAACAATTGGTCATACTTCTGGTACAGCAATTATATTCAACATAATGAACACAATAAACTATTTCATTTTCACAGGCATGTGAAGGACTAATATTAATGTTGTCTCATAACAGCCTTATGTCACATAACCTCACATGTGAGAATTACTACTGAAATACGCTGGTAAAGTCACAGCATTTTACATTCGTATTAACCTAATAATCACCAAATGTTAATATTTATAATCCATTAAGCAAGAATAAAATGCATAACTTCTTTGAATTATGAAACACAATCTTAAAAGCAATTTTATAAAATGCTCTGAAATGTTATTGCAAAATTTAATAATGAATTGAAATAGTTATCAATATTTTTGCTGCTTGTAGTTAGCTATGTATAGTACTAACAAATGTGCATTAAAATGATTAGACAGTTTTGTGAATTATATGCTATTAAAAAAATGGAAATGGAAAAAAATATTTTACCACTCTTATCATAATCCATAACTTTTAAAATATCCATTATAACAGTTATGAAATCTAAATAAGAAATTTATAAAATACAAGTTAGAAGTTTTGATCCTGTTAAAGATTTTACTGAAATTTAATATTAAGCATATCATATACATACAGAATACTTAATTGTATTAATTTTACAATGACATCTTTTCTTACATAAACACTGAGCCATTATCAGTTTTGCAATACTATATAAAAAGAGTTAAATAATAATTTACATCTGTTAATATTTTAAAAACAGAACACATCATTTAAATTTTTGAAAGATTTAAATTCTGGGTATCTGTTAGTGAAAACATGATTCAAAGTATAACAAACATATTATTTTAATAGGGATTAATTGCAGCAAACAGAACACTTTTTGTTAACTACTTTAGTTTATTTACTGCCAGCGAAAGAACCTTGTATTATTTTATGATCAGCAGCGACCTTTTCATTTTCACTCTTTAACTGATCAACTGCATGAGGTAAGATACTCGCTATCATTTCCAAACATTCTCGTGAAGCCTTGATACTACCGGGAAGGTTTACTATTAAAGTCTGACCTCGCATTCCCGATACACTCCTCGAGAGAACTGCAAATTTGGATTTCTGGCAACACCCTAGTATCATGTGGGATGAGAGATGTGGAGCTTCTCGTTCAATAACTCCCTTTGTAGCTTCAGGAGTTACATCTCTTGGCGAAAAACCGGTACCGCCAACAGTAAAAATTAAATCAATATGTTTTTCATCAGACCATTGTTTCAGTACACTCTGAATTTCGGGTATGCTATCCGGTACACAGTGCTGTAACACTGACGCTACGTGAAATAGCTGTTGGCTTTTCAATAATTGCTCAAGATTCACTCCGCTTAAATCAGTTTTCTCACCCCGATAAACAGTATCACTTACAACGAGAATTCCAACAGAATAATCCGGTATTCTATACGGTGTTCCCATCCTAAAACAAAGCAAAACAACTTAGAAATACAGAGAAGACAAATGTCTTGCTTTGCACCGGCTAAGTCTTTCTGCCCGCAGGGTGAAAAATCAAGTTTAGGTGCTAAGGAAAGGCAAATAGAGAGCAACTTTGTTTGAGAGAAAAATAATCTCGTAGTGTTTGATTGTTAAAGCCAGATATAAAAGTGGTTTTAAAAAAGGTCCAAACTAAAGCTAAATAATAATAATAATTATTGCCCAAGTAAGTTAGCGAAAATGAAAGAGAAGCGTGAAGAAACTTTATCATGAATGTGTCCTAACGTGCAATGAACGATGTTTCAAATACTGCAGAAGTCATGTGACCTATCCAGTCATGAATCATGAAGACCCTAACGTGCTGTTTTAACTATATAATGTGTAGATTAGGTGTTGAAAACACTAGCCTTATTTAAATTTAAAATTCAAAAAAAAAAGGGGGGATGCGGAGGATGATTAGTTACAGAAATTGAACACTCTTTAGAGGAAAACACGAGGCTAAAAATCCTTTATGCAGAACTGTGGCCCTTTGAAAATTCTTGAGCTAGTTAAAAGCGCAGGCAAATCCAAAAGAAAAAGAAAGTGGGGGTCCAGCTTGATAACAATTTAAAATCTGGTTAGGAAGGTAACGTTTAGCTAAGACAAAAAAGTAAAGTAATAGTAATAAAATGTTTTAAAAAATTAAAAAGGGGGGTCCAAAGGTGGAATGCAAGGCAAAAGGCTTGCTTCTATCAGAAGACCCAACAGCATTAAAGGAATACAACATCAGAGAAAAGTAGATTTTCATTTATTTTTAAAACACAGCAGCAGACAAATGTGCATACGCATACACAGTCTGAGACAATAGCAGCCAAAAGAAGTGGAGATATCCATACTCATATTCATTCAAATTAAATAACAATAAGCTAGAACACACGGTGAAGCTTCAGATAAAAGTATTAAATATTTAGAGTAAGTAAGGAAGCGTTACGAAATAATCACATAATCCTGAAAAACGGAATCTTTAAAGCTGTAACGATTCTTAGGAGTAACAATAAGGAAATAAAATTTTCATGACGTGATCCAGAAAAATCATCTTAAACACGTCCACGTAAGACTTCAACAATTATACAGGAAAAAAGCAATTAAAAGCCTGGCAACAAATCACGAATGCACAACTAAGCTTTCGAAATGGTACAAATTTTCACAGAGCAAACAATCCTTCCTGCAAATGGGTTACAATTTTTAAATCTAAATGCTGAAATTTTAGGCAAGAAATAAATGAGTAAGTAAAAGAAAGAAAATCTCCAGTTCGTATGCATTCCCAACTTCATACAGGATAAATTCTCCCTTTTCCTTTCTTGCAGCGAATACTGAGGTCAACGAATTACTGTCTCTACCAAGAAAGCTCTTCTCCGCATTTAAGACGAAGGGGCGCAGATCGGAATGTAAACATTCGGATGGCCTCATTGCGGACGTTATGCAAAAAGGAACTAGACGCATACAAAAAGTTAAAAAATCGGATTAAAATCACAAATGATAAGCAGTAAAACCTAATATAAATGAAGAAGGGGAAAGGAAAAACATCCTACCTTATCCATAGGATTCAAACTATATCCTTAAAGGATTCATTTAAATTTTTGAAAGAAACAGCACATAAACAAAAGATTATCTTCTTCTATAACTAATGAAGAGCAATAATGCTCGTGAGCGTTGTTAAAATAATTAATTATATAAATAAAAACTAGACAATTTCCGAACAAGAACGTTAAGAAAAGACAAGTTGAGTAACATCACAACACCGCTATCGTTCGAGCGTCTAGAACAGTTAGTTTAGACAGACAGACAAAGTAGACAAATGCCTTTTTTTTGCACCCGCTAAGTCTTTCTTCCCCGATGGGCGAGAAAATTAAAGCTTAGGTGCGAAGAAAAGGTATATAGAAAGGGGGGCAATTTCATATTTCAGAGGAGAGTAAAAAAAACTTCGTATATTTTTGTACGAGTTCGAAAGGCCAGGAACAAAAGATGGGACACAATAAAATTTAAAATGAATGGCCCAAAAAATAATAATAAAATAAAGAGTCTATAGAAAGAAAAGGAAAAGAAGTAGAAAATATCCTAGAATACGATTGTGTCCATGAGTGTAGTCAAAAGAAGAGGAAGCTGTGTTCCTTTACAATAAGTAACGTCTTACAGGTGTGTGCAGTAAGTATGTTTGGTAAGCCTGAATAGATTTGATGGGTGGGGGGGAGAATTTAAAAAACAAATGGACAGTGTCGGGATGGTTTCGTATCAAGGTATTTCGCATGGAATACAAGGCAATATGTATGCTTCCATCCTGAGACACAACAGCAAAAGACCCGTAATACCAGACAAAAGTATATATTATTACTTTAACTAAAGTAACTTCAGCTATTAGCGTTCCCAACATTTTCATACATTTTTCAAAAAAAAACAGCAGCAGACAAAATCATAAATCCATACACCAAACAAGATCACAACCGCACAAAAAAAGGAATATATATATATATATATATATATATAAATTCCGCAGTATATTTATTAAAAACATAAATTGAACATACTATTTATTAATTTAACTATCATAATATATTACAAGTTTGATTATTATCAGTTTACCATATAATTTTTTACTTGTTAATTAATGCTAGTATAACACATTGAGGCACACTCTATTTATATTTGCTTATAATTCTAAGAATTTATTTAAGGCAATGAAGAATAACCCATTCCTCACATTTGGACATTAAATAGACAGCAAAGAACCAGGGACGTAGCTAGAGTTTTCAGCGCGGGGGGAACAAGTGAAGACACTTTCTGTGTGGCCGTGGACACTTTGTGTGTGCCAAGAATGGAAAACATTTTATTAAAAATTTCGTAGCATCAATTTGGCACCCTCTGGATGCTGCGTCCGGGAACAGATATCCTTCCTTGCCCCACCCTACCCCCCCGGGGGTCGACGTAGAGAACTCTGCGAAGCTACTGGCTAGGATCTGTACCTAGGCAGTCTCGGCCACGGGGGTATATAATTTACGAACTTGGCGGTTCCCGATGGTCCATGGGGTAGGTCTATACTTGCTCTTCATGGGCCGGGAGGTGTAAGTCCCTTCCACCAGGGTATTGGTAGCCAAATAGCAAACTGGGCCATTGAGCGTCTGGTCCCTGCTGTCCTTGGTATTCCATGTAAAAGCCTAAGGAGAGGGGCATCCCGTGTAGGACTGGCAGGTAGCCCAATTTAATGGCCGGTCATCGACCCTAAGTTGTCATCGCCCACCCCACCGTGGTCTCGGCCCGGCCGAGACGGTGGTCTTGACTTGGTCGTGTTTAGCGTGGGCTCGATGTTCGTTGAGCGTTCATCAGAGGGTCTTTTTAAATGTGTTGGTGTCTCGGGGATGTGTGACCCTGGGCCCAGCAAGCGAGTTCTTACCATCCTTAAGGTGGCTTTTTGACTGATTTTCAGTCCCTGTAATGCCGTTAAGTTGGCGAGGCAGGTATAAAACTAGTTAGTTAGTTGCCCCACCCTAGCTACGCCACTGCGAAGAATAGTACGAGGGGGGGAAATCGATGAGATGTAATATTTAAAGGCTAAAAAATATTTAAACGATCTGAAAAAAAAAAAAAAAAAAAAAAAAAACATCGGATAGGGAAGTAGCGCTTGCGCAACCTAATATACACTTCGAAGCCCAAATTTCCCATTTTCCCTTTCACGAAGCACCTCCAAACAAGATAAGGGGGGCTGGTGCTAGACGAGAACTGCTAACGTCTGCGTCTGAGAGCCACAAGCAATGAGCAATTTCAAGTATTGTTTAATGCTAAAAAACTGATGAAAGAATAAATCAATTAATTTAAAAGCACTTTAGTAATAGAAAATTGATTAAGTTTAGATGAAGGATACTTATATTAATTCCAGGCTTTCGTTGTGTATCCTCACAATGTCCATTCTGTCACTCTCATCAGCATTGGAGCTGAAAATCTTTGGAAAGGGTGTGGATTTTGTTGAAGAACACTCTTTCGAAGTAATTCAATTGAAAATCAGAAAGAGGAGATGAATGTTTGTTACTTATTTACAGAGCGTTGCGAACGAGCATCCGCTTGCCTCGGTGATCGCAGCGCCCCTCAGCAGTTAGGTTAAACAAACAAATCACATGTGACACCGATACGGTTGCAGCCGGCTCTTTAGCTCACTTTCCCGCAGTTGTCAAGACATGGCTCTTCAGTCAACTAGCAATGATGTCAATTTTGTGCTGCATTCTATTGGTCAGGGTTTATAATCCGGCCTCGCTTTCTCCGTTTGCTAATTTTCATTTGAAGAGTGCAGTTCTTTTTACTCGTTAAGTCAGCATTATTCATTAGTCATTACTCATTGATCCCTCAATTTTTAAAATATCGTTAAGAAAGTTTTTACTTTTAAAGTGATTCTGATTACTGTTGGATATATTATGTCGAGTCGTATCGGTGTCCCATGTGATAAGCAGAAACGCGGAAAAAATGCTGTTTTCGCACTTCAGTTCCCACCAAAGTGAAACTTTCATTTTAAAAGTTATCATATGCGCATATTAGATGGATTTCGGAAGCTAGGAGGAAAACAAGTACTTTCGTGTGATATGTTTTCTTACAATAATATTTTAAAATTAAAATGGATTCAATTTCTGATAGATCAAAACTTATCTAACTTCTTACTTTATATACAAGGTATAAATTTTCTTTTATATGTTCTTCCCTTAAAGAATTAGTTTTATTAATATAATTAATGAATATATTTTGTTATAATGGGGGTAGAATTCATAGGGTTATCGAATAACACACTTGAAAAAAAGGAAGCAGTTCTTGGAAAATAAAGAAATTTTTAAACATTTTAAAAAACATTTTCTGCCTTATGTATATACTTTTTACTCTTAAATACAACTGGAATTACTTCGATTACTCATTCCTATATTAATGAACAATCATTTTCTAAAATTTTATTTCATAAAGTCTCTTTTGTT